GGCGTCGCGCTGCAGTATGCAAGAATAATTCAAAAGTAACAACGGCAACAAGGCAATGTGACGGTTAGACAGTGATAGGCTAGTCTCACTCGCACCCACGGCTTAGCATAGGCCCCAACTCCGTTTAGCTTCGTTTGACTTTATTTTTCAAGATTTTTGCTTTATTTTTTTCAAAACGTATACATAATGTATGCTGCTACACGGATGGTTCTTTATTTTTTGAAAAAAATGTGACACATCTGAGAAAATAACTAAACAAGAGTCAGTAAATGAGCAGCGCGACGTGGTGGCGGAATCGTCAACTAAAGCCGGGAGCAGTCCGGGAGGAATCACCTTAAAATTAGATTGATTAGTGGATAATTTCTTAATATATTTTCATTTTGGTGCGATTAAAATAACAATTCACTCTTGATAAACCACAATTTATTTATATTTTCATTACTTTTGTTCACATTCGAGGTACCGCCATTTTGGTGCACTCGTTTCGGCCTCCATGAGCGAGAACCAATCAGAATTGAATTTTTTTTAGGCCACTTTCAGCCCAACCAAAATCTACCAAAAGTGAGTTGTCGTAACTCTGTGTTATAAAGGGACTCTACTATAGGTCAGTCAATCCTGAAACGAAAATGAGACTCGCCTGCGCACGACGTCAGAGTCCCTCTCTCGGAGAAGGCGGGAAGCAGGTTTCAATGCTTTTCTTATGGGAGGACAGGGAATTTCGTAAGTCGGCTTAATAATAGTTATTGAGCATTAATTCGGTTGAAATTTGTACATTATTAACAGAAGGCTTCAGAGACTTTGATTCCAGCATCAAAAGTGTCTAAATAATTTTTTTACATTTTTGACAGATTTTCAAAGTAAGCAATAAATTAGGCCGTCGCGTCGTCCGCCGGGGTTGCTTCACCGCGACTAATATTACTGCCTCGTTTCCGCGGTCGCTGAATTTATTTCGGAACATTTAGTTGTATTAGGTAGGAAGGAAATTTTATGCCCTTTTAAAAATGTTCAGTGATTTTTCCCTTTAAAATCATCTGTTCAGGAGGTAAATGAGAAAAAAGGCCAGCTGCCCGTTAATTTTTTGCCGTGACAATTTTTTAAGTTTAGTTTTCCCGGTCACTGGACTCTTCTCGGAACCTTTCATTGTAACAGACTGATAGGAAATTTTATCTTCTTTAAAAAAGGTTCAGTCACTTTTTCCTCTAAAATCATCCGTTTCGGAGACAAAGTAAAATAAAAGGACGGGCCGCCGGCGAACCTCCGCCGCGACTATTTTGAAGTCTCGTTTTCCCAGTCGCCAAAAATTTTTCTGAACTTTTAATTTTAATGGGCTGATAGGAAATTAAATGCCCTTTTAAAAAGGTTTCTTCAGTTTTTCCTCTAAAATCATCCGTTTAGGAGCTTCATGAGAAAAAAGGTCGGCCGCCGGTGGATTTTTTGCCGCGACTTTTCTTAAAAGGCTCATTTCCCCATCATTGAATTTTGCACGGAACTTTTAATTGTGCCAGATTGATAGGAAATGTTATGCTCTTTTAAAAAGGTCCTATCCTTTTTTGCTCTACGATCGTCCGTTTCGGAGCCAAATGAGAATAAAAAGTGTGGCGGCGCGGCACTCGTACTCAGCAGTGCGCGTGGCGTGCTGACGCGCCCGCTCGACGCAATTCCGACTTCGGCCGCTAGTTGCAGTTCGATCGCTCGGTTCCCTATCGCAAAGCTGCAAACCAGCCTGGTGGGGAGTCGGCGATCGACTATAAATAGTGGCCGGAGCATAGGCCGGACACCAGTATTTGATCAAGATTCGTAGAAGACCAACCAGTCCCAGTCATCGGCCCGCCCCGTAAGCACCAGGGCTCAGGCCCGAACCTCCGCGGCTCAGACCCGCACTACCATCACGCCCCGGACGCGTACACCAAACTCGGCTCAGACCCGACCCCCCCCCCTCCCCATCCCACAGCCACTCTCAGACCTTAGGCCTGTTCATATATATGTGTATGGGAAGCCAATAATTGAAATAGTATAAATAAATATGTGTCATGTAGCCCTCATAGTTCGTCCTTTATACAACCCAAAAACCACCCTCCTTACAAAAGGCGGCCGTCGACGAATTTTTGGTCGCAACTATTTCGAAAGTCTCATTTTCTCGGTCAATTATTCCTTGCGAAAGGATTGATCCCACTTGGCTGATAGGAAATTTCCTGCTGTACAGAAAAGGTCCTATGACTTTTTCTTAAAAAGTCAACGGTTTTTCAGATTTTCGTGAAAAACCACCGCGCGATGTCCATTTTGCGTGGAGTAGTTAGGGCCGGGAGAGGGACTCTGACGTCACCATCGCTCTCGGTCCGATAGACGCTACGGGGGGAACCTGCGTATTGACTGACCTATAGTGATTCGGTCATGACTTCGTGATTTTGAGGTTATCAAGTACCCGTCCATTCTCAATCTCATCTACTAACTCATCAAGGGAAGGGCAGTGATCAATAATACCCATAATTCGTTTTGAGAAAAGACTTATCCATTTTCAGTCATTCTCATTCAAGGAAGGAACAGTATTTTGGTAACCGGCTGTACTTCTGATCACTCATCTGGTTTCCCGCGCTAGATTTTCACCGAACTTGTGAGGACTGCATTTCGAATTTGGCCGAACATTTCCGCGAAACAGCCGAGTTCCGCGGAACGGTTCCGGGCAAGTTCCGTCGTGAAGACAGGGCCTTAAGTACCAAAAACATAGTAGAAACGATTAAAAGCTACCCACTAACCTTATGACTTCGAAGTCTTGAAACTATAAAAGAGCCGGTTCTGCACCTCCGGTTAAAATTGCCTAACCGGCTGTTAGGGAAATAACCAGCTGACAACTAAATACTAGAAATGCATTCTATCGTTACCGATCGAAGAAATACAGGTAACTTTTAACCCCCTGTCAACTTAACAGACAGTTGAATGGTGAGAGCTCCGAGAGGTGTACTATCATGAAATTATGTACATTATGAAAACATGGAGAAAAATCGACGGATTTCGGTCCATTTCCGGCCTGAGTTTCCGGGTTTCCGGTCAGATTTGTTTTGCTGAGGTTATGTAATTCCCTACTCTGTGGAGTGGATTTGGATTCCGAGGGTGCAAGTGCAAAAACACGTATCTCGGTTGCGGTGTTGCAATACTTTCCGCTTACGTTTTATTTTTTAAAATGGCAAATAGCCGACCAAACTGCTTGGCATTTTGATCAAATTTTTCTCAAATGATGCAGAAAATTCAGTAAAGGTTTCAAGCAATTTGGTCGGCTAGTTTCCATTTTAAAAAATAAAACGTAAGCGGAAAGTATTGCAACACCGCAACCGAGATACGTGTTTTTGCATTTGCACACTCGATTTGTCCTGTGTCTTGTTAGTGTCGTGCCCGTGCATCGTGATGTAAATCGATTGAGTTATTAATTCATTATCTCACTAGCAAGAGGTGCGAATAGGACAGAGTTCTGCATAATGGAACCAAGTGATTTGGGGAAAAAGAGGGTGGTGCTCGTTGCAGCTGGTCTGGAGCTTGGAAGAATTTCCATAAGAGTCAATGTAGATGAATTTGGACTTGGTTCCTTTTTGTGAATTGAAAATGACCGAAATAGAATCTCAAGGTAACCAAGTGTGTACTTGGTTCCCTCCTATGAATTTCTATTAGCCCATAGAGAATCTCAAGAGGAACTGAGAAGAATCGAAAACCGGGGGGACTGCGGCCCCTATCCGGCCCTCTAAATGGCATGAGAAGAAAATGAAGGAAAGAGAAGAAAGTGGCTAAATGGCAGAGAAAATGGCACGAGGGACCACGACCTTTTATGGGTAAAAGGGCGAAAAACCTAAAGAAAGAGGAAAGAAAATGGCAAACTAGAGAAAGAGAAAACTAAACCTAACCTGGATACCCCCCGCAAATATACAACAACCACTCACATGCTGATAATAAGGCTAGAATGGATGGCGGCTGGCCAAGTCCAAGGCGTAGGGGGGCGGAAGCCCCATGGCAAAACTCACATGTCCGCGGCTCAAAATGTGGTGCTTAGCTAGGCATACTAAAAGGCGTGGCGACGGCGTAAAAACATAACTCAAAACTCATCACAAGTGTGCGAAGGCGTAAAGCTAGCTACACGGCGACGGCGTAATGCAAATGAGGGAGAATGAGAACACAAACACCTGCGACTGCGCGTAAAAGAAAACAAAACCGCTCACTCGTCAAAGTGCTGTCTCGAGTGATAGCTAAAAACTAAAGAAAGGGAGAGAGAGAGAGAGTGAGTGGAAAGCAAATCATAAACTTTACCAGGATGCTGATGAGAAAAAATGAGCAAAGAAAAAGACCAAGGTGCTGGAAGAGCAAAAATCCAAAAGGCAAGGCTAAAAGCTGTGACTGCGCAGTGGTCGAGGAAAGCGAAGGACAAGTCGAATCAATGCTTTTTTTTTACCTTATGAGTGGATTTTGGGTAATACCAGTGCCACCATCTTGTTTCTAGCAAAATTTCACATAGGAATCACTACTTCAATTGCGTATAGCTCCCGCGTCAATAGTCTCCATTATGAAGTTGACTTGAATTTGGGTCGTGGCATAACTGCCCCGGGGGCGAGAAGTGGACACACAAGTGCAATACTGTGGGGCAGGGGTTGCCGAAACATGTTCTGAAGACAGCAAAGGACCCGTTATTACATAAAGGATAAGAAGATGTGTCCAGAATTTAATAAGCAGCTCAGAAAGTAATCATTAAGCACCTTAGATTTAATTTCTCTCTTTGTAAATTAACCTGAAAAATGCCAGGTTTCACTAAAACTGCCTTCAATTAATTGTCACTCCAGGCATTATTTGGATCCCAAGAGGTCGAATATTGTGCCAACCAATAAAAAAAATTCCAAGTAAGGAAAGGTGCTTTTTCACGCGGTGAATTTTTGTGTATTTTTTTATTGGCTACTTTGTCGTATCGTGTAAAGTGAAAAACCAAAAATATGCATCCTTTCATGTCCCAATAATTCTTTTTTCAGGGTTGCGATTGAAAACACTTACGGATGGCTTAAAGGGAGGTGGAGACGGTTGCAATACATCGACTCACTCTCCTTGGAGAAAGTGTCGGATTTCGTGGAGGCGGCTTGCATTCTCCACAATTTTTGCCTCTTCCACAATGATGACCTACCTGCACATATGGTTGCTCCGAAAGAACATGTGCCGCAACCACATCCTGACCTACCTCCTGCAGTCCCGGGTGTTAATGCAATTGATAAAAGGAATACGCTTATGAACAATTTGTGGTGATTTTGTCTTCGCTTTCAAAATTATTTTTTCATTTAAAAACAATTCCCTGACTTTTCTTTGGCTTCAGAGTTACGTATTATGAATTCCTCTGATGAATCCAAAATGTGCTCTAAGATAGATTTTTAGAGAGGCTCCTTTCAGTGCGGGAGCCCGCATCCCGAAACAAGTACCCATTTTATAGTGAGGCAGACTTGGATATTTGGACTCTCCCGTGATAGACTAAGACCGAAAATCGATTCTGCCGACCTGACGAGGATCCTCAGAAACAAGAGAGGGCTCTAAAGAGGGCACTATTTTGAGGAGGGAAACCCCCATTTGAAATGCATTTGGATGCCGCGCAACTTCCTCCGTGCCAAGTAGATTCATCCGCGCACGCAGATGAATGTATTAAGATTATCCTCAATTTTTATCTATATTTATTATATTTTATCTAATTATTTTGAAACTCTAAACAGTGCTTCCTTGGTAATTGCTCTTATCCCTATTGCGCTATTTCCTACCTTTGGGATAAGAAAATGAATAGGGTAATAATTGCTCCGACTAAAATATCGTTTCCGTATGATTTCCTTCTAAGAAAGTGACACGACTAATCTTCTTGCAAAAAACGGCATACGGACCAGTGATGGGTTCTGAAGGAGTGCAACAGTGTAGAACAGAGAAAGAGTAGAAACTGATCCTACAGTATGGCACCTAGGAGCATTGTGAGGCGTCGTGAGTAAGCGACGCTCTGCGACATTGCGAAAACTGGCCCTACTCATAGGGTAGGCTCCTACATGGCGGTCAGAAGCCTTTCGAAGGGACAAACAAAAACGAACGGAGAGCGAGAGTGGGAAAACCCTCGTATAGTCCAGCGTTCGTTAGCGTTCCCAGGCATAACGTGCAAGCGACACTGCACGACATTGTGAAAACTGGCCCTAATCATAGGGTAGGCTCCTACATGGCGGTCAGAAGCCTTTCGAAGGGACAAACAAAAACGAACGGAGAGCGAGAGTGGGAAAACCCTCGTATAGTCCAGCGTTCGTTAGCGTTCCCAGGCATAACGTGCAAGCGACACTGCGCGACATCGTGAAAACTGGCCCTAATCATAGGGTAGGCTCCTACATGGCGGTCAGAAGCCTTTCGAAGGGACAAACAAAAACGAACGGAGAGCGAGAGTGGGAAAACCCTCGTATAGTCCAGCGTTCGTTAGCGTTCCCAGGCATAACGTGCAAGCGACACTGCGCGATATTGTGAAAACTGGCCCTAATCATAGGGTAGGCTCCTGCATGGCGGTCAGAAGCCTTTCCAAGGGACAAACAAAAACGAACGGAGAGCGAGAGTGGGAAAACCCTCGTATAGTCCAGCGTTCGTTAGCGTTCCCAGGCATAACGTGCAAGCGACACTGCGCGACATTGTGAAAACTGGCCCTAATCATAGGGTAGGCTCCTACATGGCGGTCAGAAGCCTTTCGAAGGGACAAACAAAAACGAACGGAGAACGTCTTTTCCAGACCGCCAAAAACCCCGAAACAGGTTAATTTGAGGAGGCAATTTTCATTGAAACCCTTGAAATTTTAAACGGGTCAAGTTTCATGAGTTCTCACTTTTTGCCGGAAAAAACCAAGAGCATCTTTTAACAGCTTATAAAATTAGCTTAAAATTGAAGGTGGCAACTTACCATACTTCCGTTTTCACAAGACCCACTGCATTTACAGGCATCCGAGCAGCTGTTACTGTTCTTAACGCAACTGCAACGCTTCTTGCATGAACTTTTGCAGGCGCAGCGAGTGTCATCAGACTTACGTTTCAGGTTTCGATTTTCTCGCCTCTGTAAGAAAAAACAAAAGCTCGTTACACAAAAAGTTTTGAGCTTTTAATTTTGTCATACAAAGATTCAAAAAGACAGAGAGGTAAATTTTAGGACTTTTTTTTTGGCAAAACTATACAAAAAGAACAAGGAGGAAAAACATGGACCAATTTACTGAATTTACTAAATGATGTGTTCTGAAGCAATTCTAGAGGGAGAGAATGTCATCTGGCAGTTTGGGAGTACAAGTTCTTGCAGCTTGAGACTTTGAAAGGCAATTAGATCTAAATACAAGCAATCTATTCCAATATAAGTTTTCAAGATAAATCTTTCTATCTACTAGATGCTCTCTGTGGTTTTCTTAATGACAATTACGGGAAGCCAAGTAATATTTTATTGTCTCACCATAATTTTTTTTAAAGAAAATACTTCTCTCTATAAGTAACTCGGAAATGAATATACGCCCGAGGATCTGCCAGAAAATTTACTAACTTGCATTGACTTTATACAAAGAGCATAAATTGTCACCTTTTGGCCAAAGTATTACAAGCGCCGTTTATGCTTGAATGCAATTTCACTAGACATCTTAATATTGCTTTTATTTTTATTTTTTTTTTCAAAACTTTTGTACACCTTTTCAAGAGAATATCAGAGGTGAGTCTAAATGACAAAAGAAATATTAGGTAAAATTTTCGATTGATTCTGTTCATTTCTTTTTAGTGAAAAATTGGATAAATTTGAGAAGTTTGGCAACTGTGGGAAAGCACGAATGGCGGTTATGATACTTTGGCCGGAAGGTGAAGAAATGAAGAAGACAATGATAAAAGAAGGCTCATTTCAACATTGATAAACGAATACAAACATACTTAAAAGTAAAAAATTATCAGGTCTGAGTAGGAATGACTTCCCTCAATAAAACAGGGTTTATTAAACCAAAACCGAACGAAATTTGGGGACTTGGAAATTATTTTTAAGCGATAGAGAGGTCGTTTTTTGAATTATTATTTTAACCCATTTTGTCTTTAATCCTTTAGTTGAAAACTGACTAGTCTTAACCAATGAGACAATGAGAGATGGAGAGAGAAAGAGAGAGAGAGAGATCTGCCACTCTCTAATTAATTATGCTGATAATTTCATTGGTTGAAACTAGGGGAGAGACAGTCATTCTTTGGTTCGAGTCCCTCCAAGTGGATGTCTTCTGTTTTAGGTTCGGCAGCCAGCTGATTTAAATCTTAGCGGAATGCAAGTAGCTCTTTTCTGGCTAAAACTTTCAGGGATTAGTGCTTGTGCTTTATATTTCTCTGTCTGATTTGTGTCATAGTATTTGGTGATTTCGTGAGATCAGTTAAGCAAAATCTTGTGTTTAGTGTTACATCCCCCACCCCTCTATTTTTTTTTCAAAATGTCTGGTTCCTTCCTAGTTCCTTCACCAGGCTAGTCTGGAGTAAACACTTCAACAAAGTGAAAATGTAAGGACTTGGAAGGCCTTTTCAAGACTAGAAATCAATAGCCACACAGCAAACTCCACATCATTAATATAAACTTCGAAGGATTCTGCCTTTTTCTATTTCACTCGAGGGGAAGTGTCCCCTCCCGGACTCTCTTCCCCACCCGGTGACTGACGCTACGCTGTGCTGAACGGTTCAGCCTGAACCTTTCCCCTACGTCTGACCGTTCCCCACTCCTCTGTCAATCAAACCATGCCACCGCTTTTACGTATTGTCGCTCGCCCGCCCAGGTAGGTACCTACCGGCCAGCGCAGCGGTCAGTTGAAGATAAATCTCGCTCATGCTCCTACGCAGCTACGCATTGATTACGCCAGCGAATTACTTTCGAAATAATTAGAATTTCTTCGATAATAGTTTTCTTCATTTATTCGACGGTATTTTTTCTCTGTTCTACTGTGATTTCCTTGGTTCTCTACTGTGTTTGACTGTGTTGAAATTTATATTAATACTCACACGGAGAAAAAAACTTCGTGCATGGGACCCGACGTTGAGATCATATGAATCTCTTAAAACTTGAGGTCCAGCTGCCGCAATTCGGGTCAGAAATCTGAAACACTTCGGTATGCACCGAGTACTTCAGATGTGTGACCTGAAACCTTCGGTATATACCGAACTACTTCAATTGTCTGACCCGAACTTCGGCAGATGGACCTTAACTTTTCGGATGCGTGATCCGAAAACTTCAGAGATCCATAGATCCATATGATCTCAGCTTCGGGTTCCATGCACAAAATTTTTTTCTCCGTGTTTCCTTTTAGGGGACGCAACTAAAATTTCAGTAA